CAACAAGTATAGGGTCCTCAGAGCGAGCAAAAAGAACTCAAGACCAACGTGGTGGGCCCCTAAACGATCGATGGTGCCTCGACAGGCTGACCTATGAAGCCCCGGTCAGAGCAAAGGACCCTCCGAACAAAGAGAAATTATTCAAGTCTATAAATTAATACACCTGTGCAATCAAGAGAACACGGGCAGGTTAACAACACGAGTCTCGATGGGAGTAAAAAGTCAGCCGCAAATAAGACCAAAGGGAGAGAGCCCTCGATCAAAGTAGAGGGCCCCTGACCATCGAGCGTCTCCGTGCCTTACCGTGCAAGAGCCCTAGCAACGGCATAAGGCCCTTCAAGCAAGTAGAAAGTACCTGAGATTTATATGAAGGACCTCTGAGCATCTGAATGTACTCTGGAGTATGCGGCCCCGGAAAATTGTACGTAGCCTTTCGGGCGAATGGGAAGAATCCGTGGAGGAAAACCTGATTGATCAACAGTGCTCAAGAATGAAGGCAGATAGCGTCCCAACAGCATATTGGGCGCTACGAAAAGAATGGGAAGAGATCAAGGGTAGCGTGAAAAGCTCCTTAGCGATCAAATTGACGCAGCAAGTGGACATATGGGGACCAACATATAGGCAACAACAACAAGTGGACATATAGGCAACCAGCAGCGTAATACCTCTAGACAGCGTAATGAGCCCCAAAATTTCCCCTAATCAACACTCTTTCAATCAGCGAAGAATGAACTTTGTTTACTTATGAACTTGGTACTTTTGCTAGCGATGGTTCTTGGTCATCTGTAGGCCCAAATGGATTCAATTTTGTTGTGCGTTTGTTGTAAGGAAACTGCGTCCGTCCAGCCGGTTATGGGCCCCTTCGGAGCCTTTAGGTTCCCTCGGCATGGTCCATGGGACATGGTCCTGTGCTTCCCCCCCCCCCCCTCACCCTCTGCATCGGCCACCGTCCCGAGCAGCTGAATAAATGGGGCCCGCTAAAACATACGGCCATCCACTCAAATAAGAAATGCTCACGACGCAATGTGTAGGGTTTTGAACGATCGAGTACGCCAGAACAGGTTAACATATAGGGCCCCCGTCAGGAGCTTGTGGTCCTCCATTCAAATAGGAATTATTCAATACCCAATGTAGAGGGCCTCCGAATGATCGAGTGTGCCCGAGCAGGTTAACAAATAGGGCTTCCAACAAGAGCGTAAGGCCCTCCATTTGAATGGGAAGCGCTGAAGATCCTGAGTAAATGACTCCAGAATGATGTGATGTGCCCAAGTAGCGTATCAGAAGGGGCCCGACAAGATCTTAGAGCCCTCCATCCAAATAAGAAGTACTCAAAACCCAGTGCGGAGAGCCCCCGAAAGATGGAGTATACCCGAGCAGATTATCAGATGACCCAGACAGGAGTGTAGGGCCCTAAATTCAAACACCAAGACCCAATATATAGGGCCCGGAACAATCCAATGTGGCCGAAGCGGCGAACAGATGGGGTCCCCGACAAATGTGTAGGTCTCTCCATTCAGATAGGAAGTACCCAAGAAACAATGTGAAGGGCCCCCGGATATTCGAGTGCGCCGCAGTTGGCTAACAGACGGGGCTCCGCCAGGAGTGTAGGGTCTTCCGTTGAAATGTGAATTACCCACGGCACGATGTAGAAGGCCCCGAATAACCGAGTGCGCCAGAGAATGTTAAGAGATAGGGCCCCCGAAAGAGCGGAGGACACTCCTTTAAAGAAAGAAGTACCCAAAACCAGACGTGGAGGTCCCCCACGATCGAATGGGCCCAAGCATCTTATCAGATGGGGCCCCGACAGGAGCTTAAGGCCTTCCATTCAAATAATATTTATATAAAACCCCATGCAGAAGGCCCCGAAAGATGGAGTGTACCTAAACAGGTTATCAGATGACCCCAATACGGGCAGAGGGCCCTAAATTCAAACACTGAGAACCAATGTGCAGGGCCCGCCAGCAATCCAGCGTGGGCGAGGAGGCGAACAGAGCGGGCCCCAGACAAGTGCGTAGGGTCCCATTCAAACAGCACGTGTCTAAGGCCCAATATAGAGGGCTCCCCGGACGATCGAATGTGCCCGATCAGGTTATCACATAGCCCCCCCCCCCCGCGCACAGAAGCGTAGACTCCCCATTCAGAAAAGAAGTACCAAAACCTAATGTAGACGGTCCCCGAACGGCTGAGTGTGCCCAAGCAGGCCATTAGATGGGCCCTCGACAAGAGTGTAGGGCCCTAAGCAAGTGACAGAGAACTGGAAACGCCCTACGTAGAGGCCCATGGACATATCGCAAGTGTGTCGGTAGGTTCACCGATACCCCCGTAAAGGGCCCCTGAGCAGCCGAGAGTACCCCGGCAGATTAAGGCATGGGACTCTGGCTACCGCTCACAGAGCCTTTCTGGCGAATGGAGATAACCCGTGGAAGGGCCCGTGATTGACAAAAGTTCCTCGGCACGCTAACAGAAAGGGCCCCAACAACAGCTCAGGGCCCTCTGAGCAAATGCAAAGAAATAAGGGACAACGTGGGATGCTCCTAAACGACCGAAATGAACCTACAAGGGACATATAGGTCCCCTGGAAACAGCATGGGCCCCTAGACGGTGTAATGGGGCTTAAAATTTCCAGTTCACAACTTTTCCAATTATTGAAAAAATTGAGTAATTTTTGGGACTTCTCATAGGCCCATCACTTTCACTTGCAGCTGTTCTTGATGGCCTTAAAGTCCAATATACCCAGTTTTGTTGCGTTTTGTGTTTTAAAAAAACTGCATCTGTTCGGCCGGCTACCGGCCCCCCGGAGCAAGTGGGTCCCTTCGGAGTCCAAGGGGGGGGGGGGGTGCACGCCCCGTGGCCCCCTCTCTAGATCCGCCCCTGCTTGTTACCGTACGTTTTGAGGATACTTTTGTTATTTTCCACTTGTTTGCCCCTCCCCCGAACTCAGTTTGCCCTTGACGTCGGACTGCCGAGAGGAGAGAGCGATTGATTCTAAGCCTGAAGTGTCATTCATGTGACCACGACGAAATCTCAAATGGGAGCACCGTAAATCCGATATGAGACCCGAAGGACTGGCTAAAGATCATTGAGGGCGCGCGCGTCGGACCCTCAAATACCAGCCAGAGGGCCCGTTGCTCCGATTGGGCCCCGACCTGGGCCTGGTAACCCATTTCCCAAGCAGGGACAAGGTCAGGACCCGCGATTTGCATTGGTCAGTGCACCCCGAGCCAATGAGGGGCCCCTGTGTCGGCCAGGGGCACACAGCTCCTAGCGGGAGGTCCGGTGTTGACAAGGGCCTCCGAGTTGGTCAGGGAGTGTACGAGGGTGCCTGAAGGTGGACCGATGTGCCCTTCAAGACTTACGATAAACGGGCCGATGGGAAGGCTGAATGGCCGTAAGGGTCGAAAGGCTGCAGGTCATCCAGGCCCGTATGGCTGTGATCTCAAATGTCAGCCAATATGTCTCTTTCGCCAAGTTTAGACCCCTGGGACAGTGCGGGCACCTATTTCGGCCGGAGATTACTATACCGAATAGTTGGCTGGGTGTTGTTCTGAGCCCTGGCGCCCTATTTCTCTAGCAGGAACGAGACCGAGGCCCGCGATTTGCGTTGGTCGGAGTCCCTACAACAGTGAGTGGTCTTTTGACGGTCAGGCTTCCAGAGTGTTCAACAGCGGGTCCTGTGACGGAAGAAGTCCCTGAGTCGGCCAGAGGTGACCCGGGGCCCTTGTGGGGCCCTTCACCCCGTTTTAGGCAAGGGTCTGTTGGCCAAACATGGGTCTCTGTGCCAGTAATTGGATCACCTGCGGTTATCAGAGATCTTGTTGCCCCAGTGAGGGCTCTTGCGCCTATTCCGGGTAAAATGCCCCGGCCAGAAGCCGCCAAAGGGCCTTTTGCGCCAGGGAGAGCATCAATGCAGGATGTACATCTGTGAGGGCCTCCGGAAGAATCCATCAGGCGAACCCGCATCCACGTCGCCAGAATGGCAGCTGGTAGACAACCCGGGCTGGGACGGAATGACCTTTAAGCGATTGCCCGGAAGGGTCGTGAGCACCTAACTTTTCACTAATGCTTGCGCATTTTACATATTACCTTACACATCATGTATACACATTACACGTTTTCAATTAATGTTTACTCAAGTTGCTGGCTTCATTTAGACTTACGGTCAACCTTCACGGCATGCTCAATACCTCTGTAGGGTGTGGACTCCCTCTCGTAGAGGAAGGGAGTCCTCTTGATATTTAACCCTCCCTCTTGCATTAGAAACTGCGCTGCTGTCCGGTATGAAAAGCCCAAATGAGAATTCACTCCGCCTAGAATTGAAGCAAATTGGCATCATCAAGCTACACCGATAGACCATGAAGCCACCCACTTAACATCGGCCGTCGTCGAGATTCGAGCCTGAGCTTACCGCGTGCGAGACCAGCACGCTGAGCATCCATCCACTTGAAATGCGGGCGCAGCCGCCGAAAATTCGCCATCAAAATTTGCCATTAACATATTTCGTGATCGTTTGATGCCTATCACGCGTAGAGCCGACTTTTCGCACGGGATTCTGCATATTTGCACTTGCTTCCCTCTAAGACTGGCGATCCGCGTATGCTTGACACGCACAACCATCTGAAATATTTTTTGATGGTGTATAAGCCCGGTGCGTAGCCACCCTCCATTTTGGAGGGTGTATAAGCCCGGTGCGTAACCGCCCTCCGTTTTGGAGGGTGTATACGCGCAGTCAATAGGTTTCCATATCTTAGCTGTTTGCTTTTGTATGTAAAATTTGCCCTTTGCGTTTTTGGAGTGCTTGACGCAAGGTCAGGTCTCAATACTGCCAACCTCTCACTTACAATTGTGCTGAATCCATTGGCGTACGTTTCAACGCAATCGAAATGCAAATTTTGGAGAACGAGCGCGTCTGCTTCATTGGCTGTTTTTTAGACCATGCGCCGTTTCTGGCGCTCTGCCGACGAGGGGCCAGTTCATTGCTCTCCACGTATCCCTCACGCACTGTCGCGATCTGTGCGTGTTGTATATCATGCGCGGCTGTGCTGTTAATGCGATTCATTTCAGAGGTTGAATATTAGTTGGGTATGGGAGGCCATTTCCGCTATACAAAGTGGGACCCTGTGCTGATAATAAGTCAAATTGTTTGCTTGCAAGCATTGTATTATGTTACGTTGGGCGTCTGCCTTGTTTTCCTTAACATGCTTACTGGCGGCTTACTTTCCCTTGACAGCATTTTCAACTTTGAGGTGAGTCATCAACACATAACCCCATTGTCAAAATTGGCTATGTTTGGTTTTCAAACTTGTTGCCCATCCATGTGCATAACATGTCCTGGAGTTGTGTGTTTTTTTCAGTTTTAGGGATGCTCCAGTGTTACTTGTAAAGCTGATTAATCAAAGTTTCACCATGCATAATTGAAAGCTTGAACCTACCATATCAGTCATAGCTAGAGTGAAGGGTTGAAATTGCATAAAATAGAAACAACTTGGTCAAATCTATTCCAATTGTGCATTTGAGTCTATGAGAAAGTTGTGTGATGCAAGGTTTTGTTACAGTGATTGATACAATGGTTTTGCATCTAATTTTATGATTCTTGGGTAGTGTCAGTAGGTAGTGTTAGCAGGTACTTAAGATTTGTTAACATTCAACCAGCAGTTTTTTATTTGAGTGCTCATAGACCCTGACAATTTGGTTGGATACTTAATGTTCTAAGTCTGAATGGTGTGTCTAACCGTTGCACCATAATCTTACCATTTAATATAACGATGTCCATTTTTTATAGATTAAGTGACTTCAGTCAGTCTTTTTGTCAGTGAAACTTGTGGTAAAATGTGTTTTGGATAATTGTGATTTGACCTCTGCAGCATGATGCCTGCCAGAGCAGCATAGTTTATAAAAGTGTAAGCAGAATAACTACATATGTGCATTAGCAGCTATCTAGGTTGCATATTACATTAATAAGCTGACAATATTCTGGCAAATGGCTCCTGTGTCCTCTCAGTTTATGAGGATTAGTTTGGATAATGATATTTTGTCAAAGTTATTATGTGTTCAAGCTTATACTGTTATGATGTTAAGTCTAGATTCCAAGCTTCACAAGTTGCATGAAATGATGCTGTGTGTGTTGATTCTGTAGATATCTACAAAAAATAGAATAGCCTTTGTATTAGTGTAGCAGTGCACCTTGCAGCTTTCAAGCCTACTATCTCAGGATCAAAAACAATAAGCCTGGCTTTTGAGTAGAGGATTTTAGCCTTTGAAATCCTCATGTGGCTACTAAGCATGCTCCCAAGCATGTATTCTGGCTCAACCAGAGGCTATCTCCCAGGTGGTGTGTTGCATCATCATAATAATATGTTTGTGTTCAGCTGTTGCTACTTAGCAGCATTTAGTGGTTCTTGATAAGTGAAATCACTGCCATTTTTGCATGCTCACCAGGTGTTCCTGTGTTCCCAGGTTCTGAATCTATCTGAGGGCCATGGCAGGGTGGTTGCCATTGCATTTGTGCTGAATGCAGGATTCAGGTAATATTTCACTTAGTTTTGTTACTAGTTTTGCTTCCAACCTGTATATCATCATTTATATATGCTATGCTAATGGCCTATCTCTGCCAAGATGATTGATTACCTCTGCTGTGATAATATCTTATTTCTGCTATGGTGATGGCTTATTTCTTCCATGATAATGGCTCATCTCTGTCATGCTGGCAGTTTGTTTCTGCCATTAATGTCGGACAGTATATGTGATGTGTGGTTTGAAGGGCATATCATGCTTTTGTGGGTGCCAGAGTCATTGCCATGAGACCATATGTGATAATTATAACAATTGTGGCGGGTGTAATAATTGCAGTTGAACTGTGGTATTCCTTGATTCATAGCTGCAAACCAGCAGGACCCCTCGCACAATGGGGGACAAGCAGGGTGATAACAAATACAGATGTTGTCAGAGGTTAGCATGTAGATAGTGCCCAAAACCAAGTGATGGAGTCTCATTCCCTTTGGCAACCAGTACCAATGTCTTGAATCAGTGCATTGGAAAGTTCACCTTCTTCGAAAAAGGACAGGTGCAGGTTCATTGACATAGTATTTGCCTGCCAATGCACAAACAACATCTTGACAAACAGCTGACTGCAAACAAGTCTGCTTAGGCTTGGCCCTCGTAGTTTGCAATGTGGGTTAATTTAACGATGTAAAATTTTCCAACTGCAGCGAAAGTATTTTGAAAACCGCACTTTGGATGTTGATAAAAAGAAACGGGTCTTTGTGCCTGTGTAGTGGTTATGGACCAATATCTCAGCTGTGGCGCGGAGTTTGGTTTTCGAGGTCGGTTGCAGCATTGTTTGATTTTCGAGGTCGGCTTCGGCTAACGTGCTACTGGCTGCCTTACGATCGATTACTGGTATACTCAAGGGAGAGGTAGTTTTTTACCCTTTAGTGAGTTATAAATGGGACGTTCGTCTACGTCGTGCAATTAGTCTCTATCTGCTCTGGTTGCTGAGGTTTGACATCAGTCCTCACCAACGTTCCTAAACGGCGAATCAGTGGTTTGCGTGCGAGTGCGCGTGATGACTACATTGATCGACTGTGGTCAACGTGATGATCCTTCGCCCTCGCTCCGTCAGAATCTGTTAGTCTCGCGCTTCTTCTGGAATCTGTTAGTCGTAGTCCAGTGCCGCTCACTGCCACCATTCTATGCATTCGTTTAGACACTTGCGTGCAACGCAGCTATCCGATCATTCTGCGCCTCACTGCCGCTTAGAAATTGACGCGTGGCGTTGTGTATGCTGTGATCATCCGGCGTTGGCACAGCTCTGCTGACCTGACCCCGTGCCGTGCCGACAGCGCGCTGTCGCTCTGGTGGGTGGTGCAGCGGACCAAGCTGTGCCTCGACTTCTCATGCACCACGCTGGGCTACCACCTGCTCTTCTGCTGGCTGCACGGCGGCCGGGCGCCGAGCAGCGCCGCCTGGTGGCTGGTGCAGCTGGCCTGTCTCAGCCTGGCCTGTGTGTGCGGCGAGTTCCTCTGCATGCGCACCGAGCTGGCCGCCATCCCCGTGAACCTGGGCGGCCGCGCCGACTTGTGACGCCGGGCCCACTGAGCGCGCCGACCGACGGCGACTATCCTGGCGGCGGCGGCGGCCGAGTCCGCCAACGGCGCCGCGGAGCTCGGTGGCGCCCCCTGCTGACTCGGGAGGGGGGAGGGGGGGGGGGGGGGCGCTCTGCCGACGGAGCGGCGCCGACGGCCGCCCCTGGGGTCGGGCTTTGGCTCTGGTACCGCCGTCCTCCGCCGCTGCGGCCGGCGGAGGCCGCGCCATTGGCTGGTGTCGAGACGACCGGACGAGTCGACTCGTGGCAGGGGGAAGGGACTCTGTGACGCTGAGCCCCCTGTTTCGGCGTTGGACTGTCGCCACCGTCAGCGGTGGCCTCCCGCCACTGGGGGCCGGCCTGACTACTTCCCTCGTGTGGATCTTGGCTGCTTCCACGTGATGGTTGACGGCGGGACTTATGAACGGCGTCGATGACTGTGGCCAGCGCTTAAAGACGCGGGTCCTATCGCACGTGCTCGCCACGAGGGATCGGCTCCGGTGGCCGACTACGCTGAAATGTGCTTTATGTTGTGTACCTGATAAGATGAGGCGTGGATGTTCTTCGTCCTGGTTTCTCGCCGCGTAATGCGCGTGTATCGTCATGGCTCGATCACGGATGCCGGCGATGCGTTGAACAATATTTTGACTTCGCGTTGCAAGCCTACTTCGGTTTCACAGATCTGACGCGCCCTTTATTTTGATGGCAGTGAGTCCATTGCACGAATTCATTTTCAACGCTCCTGTGCCGGCAGATTATCTGGTTGTTTGTATAATACGATGCGATTTTTGCCGGTGGCCACTGGCCAGGACATGTTCGGTGCTCCCAAAGTTTGAAATTTTTGAAGTAGGGTTCAGATGACGCCTAGCTATCTGCTTCCGTCACAAGCAGTCAGATTCCCGTGAATGCAAACGGAGACGAACCAAAGCGCATTACAGATCATCCCGGGCGCTGGACATAGGTCGGCAGCAGCGGTCTCTACTTCACATCAGTGGTGCGATCACGAGTCTGCCGCGGCTCACCCCGTGCGTCCGCACGCGCCGGGCCCTTCTGTCACGCGCGTGCGTCGCGTCCCTTACGTCACGTACGGCGACTGGGACAGTTTTAGACCGCGTGGTCGCTCGCTTCTCGCTGACGTAGTATTCATGTATTTATGGACTGTTCTGCATAATCATGCGTTAGTGACGGGTGCCACGTGCTTCGCGTCAGGCAGTGCGAAATGTGCGAGCGTGTGGGGCGCCGCTGGCCGCGGTCGCCTCCCCGCCACGCCTCGCGCAGAGGCGGGCGCGTGGTTCACGGACGCCGCCATCGGCGCTCAGGGCCCACGTCGGGGAGGGGGGATGACGGCTGGTCAGCTCACAACTGACCCCAGCGCCACTCCGACCGGACCCATGAGCGATTTGTATCAGTGCAATCTGTCGTTGAACGGCCCACACCCGCAGGGCTCCCGCGTGGGAAGTCCAGTTTGTAACGCTCGGCCGCCGTTTCTCTGCGTCTTGCATGTCGTACCGAATACACGGATTTGGTTAAGGTCTTGGTACCGCGCCACAGCTGTGGGACGGTCTCGTGTCATGCAGGTGCTTCGGCGCCCTTTGCCTTGGGATTCGCCCGAAAGTGTGGGTTTCCGAGCATGCTGGCGATCCAATCTCATTCACGGATAAGACTTCAGTCGCGGTGTTGCTGCCCACTGCTGTTCCATTCTCGAGGAACAAACATTGGCTTAGTGTGGGGAACTTTGGTTGGGCGCTTTAAAGTGGCCAGCTATGCAGGGCAAGCTACGACTATGCTCACAGGGCCGTCGAGAGCCTGTACAGCGCTTAAAAAGCTCCGTTCTCCTCGCCTGGTCCCGTTTCCACCGCGCCGGATTGGGAGACAAACTCACAGTCTTAAACGGTGCCGACGTGCTCCCGTCTTCGTTCGTCCGACGCTGCCGGACCGCACTCCGGCATAGCGAGTGCAGCCTGACAGTGGTATGGCTAAGGGCATGTTTTCGGAATCATGCCCCCAACCCCAATGAGGTAACGGAGATCTCGAGCCCGAAGGCCTCAGTATATTTTGGTCCTCTACGACGGCTGTAGAAATTCTACCAGCCATCGAGGTATCAAGATGGGGTATCGTGCTCGCAAAGGCCGCGCGAGTAGAGAAGCAGGGCCCCTTTAGAACGACGGGATGGGGGGGGGGGCCTCACGTGAAAGGAGTCCCGTCGCCTCGATTAGGCATTCTGGGCAAAATTCAGGCTACACCACTGGTAGTGGCAACAACCACGTATACACTCAGTAGAATCATATTTCTACGACGTGCACTTAACACGCGCTCGGGTGGGGATCAGATTGACCCCCCAAAGATTTTTCCAAAATGGTTTCCAAACGGCGCGCCGCAGCCGCGCCAAATTTTGCATAGCTGTAGACAATGGAATAGCAGATCGTTTAACATCAAACATTTAGATTTACCTTGCAACGTCGCTGACCTATGGCAGGTCAAAGTCAGGCCATGGTTTCAGCGAAGTCTATTTCCTGGGAATCGTTCAATCTAATGCAACAGCGGAGTGCTAGGCGAAGTGAAGTGCTTTCTTAGGCAACAAAAATATTGAATGAGCAATTAGCGTTGACCTGAGGTTAGGTATAAATATCAGGCCAAGGTCAAAAACCAACTTGTTATTTCTGTAGAGCTTGCTGTATGGGATGGACCCTGGTGCCCATGACCTGATCCTGGTCAACTTGACCCTTCTACCCGAGCGAAGGGTGCCTAGCCGGCCACCCGCGCGAGTGTTAACTAAAATGCCTTCGCACAGCTTTGCTGTGCACACTGAGTACCCCAATTTTCTTCGCACGTGATGTTGATTAGAAAGCAACTCTTAGTAACAGTATAATGTATCGATCCGCATATTGATCACTGACGGCCATTCTGATCTTAATCTGGGTCCGGCTGTCAACCCTTCCGAAGCGGGCCGCTGCTGGTGTCTTCACGTGTTTGCGGTCCACTCGGTAGATGGTCTTACAGTTGCTATAATGCCTTGTAGATGGCAGCAGTGCCGCGGGAGCTGGAGCGGCTGGACGCGCTATCGTGGCGACGACGGATGAGCGTCGAGCGTCATGCGACGGATGAGCGTCGCGAATCTCGGCTCCGCCTACGAGGAGAAGGCGGATGCTGCCTTCCCGCGGGCGCACACCACTGGCTCAGAGCATTTGTGTCGTGCTGCAAGCAGCGACCTGCTGGTTTCCTCACCTTGTTGTCCACGCGCTGGGACAACGGCCTTAACACAATGGCAGTTGATCATTTAAGTGATTCCTGTCATCGCCGAAGCCACATTCTGCTATTGTGATTCGCGGCCATCAAGCAGACGCTTTTTAAACGATTAATTGCCTGCATATGCACTGTATATACCGCACTGCAAGTTAATTTCAATCTTACTTCCCTTGAGGTTGAGTGTCGGTTGAGTAGGTGCCTAAAACACTTCACACTCGAACAAAGGATCCTGCGGCTGTGCAAACTGGCGTGTTTGTATTTGTTCTTCGAATCGAGTGCAGTTCAACATCTATGGCCTGTGTCATGGAAACCTGCTGTTTGCATGAGCAATAACAATTAGAAACAATCATACGGACAAAAAACGGGAAGTCGTAACTGCAAGTGATCGTTTTCAACAATTTAAAACCAGGCACATGAGTGAAGTTCCCGGCTCGAAGCTGGCCGGCGACACGCTATTGGAAACCTCCCAGTAATGCCTCCGAACCATGGCTGCTAAGGGGCGCCGCTCACCGCCCTGGTCATTCACCGGTAACGACGCGGACTTAGACCAACGGTGCCCAACGAACGGACCCCGCCGGGCTCCGGGAATCAGCTGATGGAGGTGGCTGTTGTTCCGCTGGGTCCAGGGTGGGCGCCGGCCCACGCTAGGCCGATGCGAAGCGACGGCGACGGATATTGCAGCTTTTGTGGCCGACCATTTAGGTATCGGGCTTCAGAAGAGACTCACAGACTGCTGCTGCTGCTCACAGACAGACTGCTGCTGCTGCGCTGTTTCGCAATCACTCCTGTGTCATGTGTCGCTGTTTGTGTTGCGTAAGTTCTCAAACTCTCCCAAAGATGCCACGGCCGCCTTGACCTTCGGCAGGTCGCATGACCCGCCCCGCCACTGATATGGGCCGCTGTCTGTAACGCCGGCCCACCGAGCCGCCGCCGCAGCACGGAGGTGACGGACCGCCCGTCACCAGTCGTGACGCCGGCGATTGCGGCGTGTGACGGGATTCGTGACAGTCGCCGGCGGCGGCCGTGACGCGCAGACGGCGGCCGTGACGCGCAGGCGGCGGTCGTGACGGACGCCCAACGACACCCCACACTATGAGACGAGATGCTTTCTGGGAAGCGTGGATGTAGCCCGGCGCTGCATGGTGGTGCACCCCAGGGCGTACAGCCGGGCTTTCTGGTTTCTGCCGCAGATTTGTGATGCAAAATTGCAAGTGATTTTTGTGAGTGCTCTAGATGGGCATCAGTTGGTTATGCGTTTTGGCATGCCTTTTTAGAATAGGAAATGCGAATGCGACGCGCGTCGCCGTGCACCTTTTCATGGAGGGCCAGCGACGACAGACGCCATGCTAACGTTGAGGGGGCATAGCTCTACCGGGGTGCAAATCAGGAGGAACCATAACCCCCTCAATCATCTCTCTCTCTCTCTCTCTCCTCTCTCTCTCTCCTCTCTCTCTCTCTCTCTCTCTCTCTCTCTCTCTCTCTCTCTCTCTCTCTCTCTCTCTCTCTCTCTCTCTCTCTCTCTCTCTCTCTCTCCTCTCTCTCTCTCTCTCTCTCTCTCTCCTCTCTCTCTCTCTCTCTCTCTCTCTCTCTCTCTCTCTCTCTCTCTCTCTCTCTCTCTCTCTCTCTCTCTCTCTCCTCTCTCTCTCTCTCTCTCTCTCTCTCTCTCTCTCTCTCTCTCTCTCTCTCTCTCTCTCTCTCTCTCTCTCTTTCGAAGAAATCGCTGGAGAAGCGACCCACATTTGCGGGTCGTGCATGACCGAGTCGTTTACTGGAATAGCAAACAACGGCGCACTTACGATGCCTTCCTGAGGCATTTCATGTACTGCAGGGAAGCTGTCAGAGACAGCGCTCCCTACTCTCACCCGAAAATACCGATTACGCAAGAATTTACACATAAACCAATTCATGTGGCGCCGTACACCATACCTGCGCAACTTCATGAGAATGCCACAGTGCAGGTGGAGTCAAAACCGTCTATGTCAAAGACGACCGGTAAAGCATGTTGACCGCTTTTACATAAGTTGCTGATCGCAGTGTCTGGCACAACTAAGTGATCTAGTGTACTTCCATTTTTTAAAACCACAATGGGAGTTAGAAAGCAAGTTGTCAGTCTCTAAAAAATGACCCTACGCCTCAGTACCCAACACCTATGTCCGGTATTTATCAGCTTATCAAAGAGTTTGCAAGGGTAGGAATTCAGCGAAATGGCACGGTAGTTGAGGATAACTATACCATCTTTGCCAGCCTTCAGAATAGCCACGACTACCGTTTCCCTCCATTGGACCAGAAGCGTATCAGTCTCCCATATAATTAAATAGCAAGTACCCAGCGAGGCACAGCTGGGGCGCCTCAGCATCTAACTTACGATACCATCTGGTCCTGATGCAACACTCCATGTGCTAGTGCAACACTGCTCTCAACTCTTCCATCACAAATTTGGCACTATATGGCTCGTGGTTTCCCGAGCCAAAGTCCACCGGACGGTACTAACACTGCTCCTTACGCCGGAGAAGCCTTAGATCATGGGGGCCCAGACCCCTCCCCCCCCCCCCCACTCTGACAACGCCCGGCCATTCTCGTCAGCCGCTTGTATTGTGTAGGTAACTGGGGAGCTGCCTATGGTTAGTCACGGGTATAGGAGTGGTTGGGCGTTTCCAAGAGTTGCTTTAGACGCGTCTCCATACCTGCGTCCATTGCTTAAAACGGCTGATACTTGTCGCGTAGTCGCGTCATAAACAGCGCTTAGCCTCGCGTCCAATCCGCATCGACCGAGCTCGAGCTTGCTTGAAAAGAATCGGGTTCTCCGCGGTAGACGATAATTCAACACGTCTAAATGCTTTCTTCCTGCTTGAAATGCCTGTCCCACACTGTTTTAACCACCGAGGCACTGGCATGTGCCGTGGTTTTGAAAACGTCATGAAGATCACCACTATAAGAGTCGTAGATTATATTTATCTGCATTTTTATAACAGACGCGTAATGCGATATCCTCAGCACACCAATTTGCGAAAATGCTTATGCGATGAATAACAAGAGAACCTGAAGCCCTCTACTTAGGGAAAAAGATACCCGAATATGAAACAATTCTCACATAAATTTAACGAACTGTTACGCTGTGGCTTTGATCTTTCCCTATAGCTTTAAACACAGCGATTCTGTTCAAAGGGTACTTTGGCTTTGGAAAACATTGTCTTCGTTGACGCCCATTTCGTGCCAATTTGCGTTTATGAAGCAGGTATACACCAGTGACATATCACCTAATCTGGTGACGCGCGTGTTTCGCCAATGCCCTGGGCCAAATATATTCATTTCTCTGAATCTCTGAATGTTTCCTCCGCGCGCTGTACAAAAGAGGACTCCTTCTTATATCATTCATACCACACCAACATGCAAATGGAATATGCATGTTGGTGTGGTTAGCTCCGCAATCATATCAGGTGGAAGCACTATGCAATATAACGAAACATATTTGGCTCTACTATGCCACGAAATATTTCCGTCCTGAGCAAGTCAGCTTTACCTCACATTAACTCACTACCTAATTTGCCAGATCACCATGAACTCACTCCTGCTATCGTGGCAAGCTTTGAAATGGTTTGCTCACTTAAGTAAACTGATTATTTTGCTATGCTGTCCATTCTGTTTTGTAGGTACACAGTGCCAGCATGGCTCATTGCACCAAAAATAGCGCTGGACGATTACAAATACAATTGAGCCACGTGTGGGGAAATTGGAAATTGTGTAATGGATTTACTAAGATGTTCACGATGTTGCACTCAACATACGATGACTGGTTTGCTCAACTGCGGCGTGATAATTACGATAGGCTCAATCAGCTGGTCAAAGGCAACAGCCATAGGTCGTTTTCTAAAGGGAAAGTCTTATATTTGAAGATATTTAGGCATGCATCAGATGGCATGAAATAAGCTTATTTGTAACCGTTGGTACGCTTTAAAATGCAAGAACGGCTCAAGACAGCACAGTTTCACCATTGGGGAAGCGTGCTTGTCAATACATCGTTATTTCATCGCGTAATAGATTATTTGCATAACGTCATAGAGGGGCTGCTAGACTGGTTGTGCGAAATTCCGATCGCAGCGGAAAGACCAATTTACTTGTACTTCTTCAGCTCCTCGAGAGGTGTCGTGGTATAGGTGCGTTATTGGCAGAACCCAAGTATCGCTATGTACGCGTCTTTTGGCCCTTTCTCGTGGGGCTATTGCATATTTATCCGGATTTTGTGTTGTTTACTTGCATTTACATGTTCGGCTATGACGGCATTCTTAAGTAATTTGATTCCCAGCCTTGCCTCCGTCATGAATGGCATCAGCGTCCAACTTCCCGTACTGTGTAGCGCAAAACGTCCTTCGATTGTAAAACTTGCGCTGCATGCATAACATGGCTTAATTGTCAAATAAACTTCGGGGGTGCCAGAAATCGTGCTAATCTACGCCAGGCACGAATAACTCAACGATTGTGTTCATATTGGTCCTGAGCACCACGTGGCGGATGAGATGGCAGTATTTCCGTGACGTCTGTATGGCATCATGCATGCCTGGGTGATTTTGGGATGGCCTGCACGAAATAGTTAGTAGAGCGGTCCAGCACACTATTTTTAGGTGTGCCATGATGGCCAAAGCACAGCATAATGTTACCTCCATGGTGCAGAATGTCTGCTTTTGTTGATTTTGCAGTTGAACCTGTCCAGTTCTGTCATTTTTTTTTTGCCTGCAGAATTTCACAAAACCGCCAGCAGACTTAATGAAAATAGATATTTGATTGGTACCAGTGAGGTATAAGACGTTAAAAACATATTTTTTATTTAGTTATTTAGTAGCATTAGTTTGCTGTTTGAATGCTATCATTGTTTGATGTTGATGTCGAATAACAAGTTTCGAACAGCTGTTTTTTTCCAACTGTTTCAACATGGGGTGCAGATGTTCCGCTAGTGGTATGCAAGATTTTGTTTAAGTAGTGATCACATGTTAATTGGGACATTGTGAAAATATTATTGAATATCCTACGCGATTTCCAGTCTCTGTAAGCATGACTGAAGGGCAGTGGCAATCACGCACCACAATTTTTAGTGTAATGAGTCATACGACATACTGGACTGGCAAAGAAAAGTGGTTAGAGGGGCAAAATGAGTTCCTTTACTCAATTCAGTAAACTGTTTTTAGGTGTGCCATGATGGCAAGAGCATAGCCTAGTGATGTTTTGAATTGCAACACTCATGTCGCTGAATGTATGCTGTTCGTAATGATTTCACCCGGACCTCCCCAATTTTTCACCTGCAGAGTTTAACAAAAACACAGGGCAGAAGTAAGCATTTCGCATTTTATTGGCGCCAATGGGACTTAAGACTTAAAAAACAAAATATGGTATTAATTTACTGCCTGGAGGCCAATAATGGTTCATGTTGATGTTGAATGACAACCTCTGATTGCTGTATTTGATCGGCCGTTCCAACGTCGAGTACAGATGTTGTTCTGCAACTGCTGTGCAATATTTGAAAAACCAGCCACCGCATTTTGAGTGAAACATTGTGAACATCTTGGTAAACATCTGACACAGTTTCCAGCATCCACATTCGTCTCAAGTGCAAGTGCATCAACCAGCACAACTATTGGTGCATTTAGCCATATTCATCCACTGCCTTACAAAGCAAGGTAGATGAAAGGCAACATCAGTGCACATAATTCAATCCAGCAATCCATGTTTTGCTCTGCTATGATGGTCGCGGCACAACATAATGCTCTTTTAAATTCATATACTCATGTTTTACAGCTTCGGCCGCTTATCGTTGCAGCTGCATTTAGCCTGTTTTTCTCTTCCGTAGTTTGTTTTTTTAATAATGGTGCTTTTGACACCTTTTATTGGTGCCAGTGAGGCACAAAGGGCTTAAAATAAAACATCGCATCTCTTCACTCTGTGCGTGCCATGAATGATTGACAAGGGCGTAGTTTTGCAAAATGAGCTCGCTTTTTAGTATACTTACTTACGAACCTGACATATTGTTACGCGGGGGCGCATACAGGATTTCACAGTTGAGCGGGGGGGGGGGGGGGGGGCACAATCAACAAATGACGACCAACTTAAGCGTACCGCAAGCCGATTTTTCGTCTTTGACATTGATAACATGACGTGAGAAGTGACGTCCCTGTAGTGGGGCGTGAATGATCGACGCGCAAAGTTTGACAACGCCGTCAGCTGCAACAGCAACTGCTGAATTTCCGCAGGAGCTAAACAACGCGCCTGATTGCTGTTTACGCAGTACGGGGACTGCAGTCCATAGCAAAAGGATGGATGCAGGCGGCCCCGGACTTGCACAAACACGATTGGTTGCATAAGTGGTCGAGGGGTTCCTGGCCAGTGGCCTTATCGCTGTCGCAGAAGGCTTTTTCCTGCTCCCATGTCCCTGCAAATAAGTGCTGCGTCGCCAAAGAAGGAAACTCAGCCCGGGGTTCCCCGTCTTTATCAATTCGCAAAGCGCGCTGCCGCCCCACCAATCAGCGGGTGGTCCGGTGGCCGGGCACCAATCAGCGCGCTTGCTCGGCCCCGGCCACCGCACGCCAGCGCTGCTCACTCGCTGCCAGGCGCTGGGTGGTGGTGCGGGGTCGCTCTCGCGCTGCGTGTGAGTGGTGCTCCTGCCGCCGAGACGCGGCGACCGGCGCGCCTCGCTGTCGATGGTGACCGCTGCTCGGACCGACGACCATGGCCGGCCCGCAGGCGGTTGACCTCTGTTGGCTGGTGATCATCTCTGTGACCCTGAATGTGACCGGCGCGTGCAGCTGGCTGCTGGAGGCGGTCAGGGACCGCGCCGACCGCTGCAGGTCCGGGGAGACCGCCGAAGCGGCGCCCCCCGCGCGCGACAGGATCAAGATGTACAGGTAAGGTCACGGCGCCGTACCCGGCAGGCGGATCAGCTGGTATTGAAACAGAGCCGCAACACAGCTCAGGCATCGACGAAAGTAATGACGGTCCTCAGTGTCCATGACAAACCCCGAAGTATTTCCCAAACCAATGATATCACAGCGGCGAGATGCACAGGATGATGAGGGATGACATTTGTGGACAGCTTTCAAGCAATTTTATACTCAACTTTTCCCATTCTCTAGAAGAAACGAGAGAAAAAAACGGGATTCGCCACCGGCGCCAGCGCCGCGCGCCGCCGCGTGCTGGGAGCTATCTGCTGTTCACGATCGTGGACAGCCAATGGCTGCAGCGGATGATGGCATCGGCCTGGACATACGGACATACGCCAGCATAGTGGCCCGTAGCAGATCGGCCGTGTGATAAGCCTCAGGACGCGGACGCGATGCATCTGAGCCTGTCGTGAAGGCGCGCGGACCGGCTGCTGCCGTGGCGTCTGCCGGGCTAAGCTGGGGGGCGGGCCCGGACCAGAGGGCTCAGGGACGGGAGGTGTGGAGCCCGGCGGAGCCAGCCTCCGCCCTCGAGCCGCCGCTGCACTGCCGCAAACAGACGGATCGTGTCGGGTGGGTGTGTTCGATTCTCACTTGTGGATTAGCGCTTTGCTGATGCATGCAAATGTCACGTCCCATCAGGATATGGATGCGGCTTGCTTAATTCTTGGAACATGTTAGGCAGTTGCAAGCTTTTCCTAAGAAGGAGCCGAGCCGCCGACCGAGTGGCCTTAATTGAACTTCGGGAAATCCCTACATCAGCGGGTTTGCATGGACCTAGCGTGACAATGCGAAGCTCCTTTTGGGCTGCTATGTTTGTGATTACAGGTATCACCTCAATTTTCTACTCAACGTGAACCATCACCGTCCTTGAAATATACAGCGCTTTCGTTTTGATCCCGAACCCAATGCTCTTTTTACTCGCGTCTCGAGCGAGGATGGTCAGAAAAGTAAGCACTGTTCAGCAATTTCGCTTCTAAATGACATATACCTGCGAAAGAAGAGCAAACGAATGGCTAAGTGCCCATGAAATATTATGATTATAAATATTAAGCCTCAGCTAGTCAGACCAACCAATGGTCTTCCGAGACAGGCACTCCGCAACGCGCTTGACATTACGAAGTACGCTAATACATGTTCCTGCTGTAGAAATCCTTTTGCGGCAAATTGGATACGCATCCCTGGGACGCAATTCAGCATACCACGCTGTCTGGAAACACGATGCGCATACAAACGGATGCGTGGAGGTTCCGCAAATGCAGGGCCCGGGCGTCAGACGAAAAATTGCCAGAACGGCAAGGAGCACCTAATTTCATGTTGTTTACAACGGCACATTATGACGAAACACCATCGCGTTCCAAGGGAAAGTATAGAGCAATGATTAATGGTTTATAATGCCTGCTAGTCCTGCATGCGTGCATTTGCGCTAGAAGCAAACAGAAGCTTTCGAGCTGCATATTTCATCAAGTGAGCGTGTACACAGCGACTGCAGGCGAACAATTGAGAACGGCCTACAAGTAATGTCTCCATTTGACCCTAAATCACCCGGCAAGTCAGACGAAACAGTGTCTGATCCGAGTTACCCGATATATCCCGATACAAAATCTCGGGCAGTGGAGGGTTGCCAACTGCATCAGATTTGGCGGCGCTCCTATTTTCAGTCTTACCAGCTGTTTCCGAGACCAGACGCGGACGCCGGCAGTGTGGCCGCCCTCGTCCCGTCGGTGTGAGTGACGCTGTTACGGATGGCCGGCCCCCTGTTGTGCAAATAAATAACCATCCAAACACCTTCGGCAGGTTTTTATCTGTATACCCATAACTCTCAAAGTGGGAAATTGGATATCTGGCGTCGACGTCGGCAAACAGCTATTTTGACAGAAAGGTTTCCAGTTCCGTCGTCTTACGTGCCTTAAGTACCGATTGTTTTTAATACCCATGTATGGGTTTCTGTGCATAATAGTATGCGCAAATTGTAAATAAGCCAAAGGCGCCAACCCGGTTGAAAATGGTGAGGTACAGTAACAATTTTCAACCACCTTGTGCCTATGGGGGCATAGCGAGTGAGCCACACTTCTACCTTGCCATCAGCTGAGATGTTTCACCGACGACATCTGCCTGCTGGCATCTGCCAACTCCTCGCTGTCGCAAAATCAAGCCATAGGATCGAAAAAAATGCAGCGGCAACCAATGGCAAGGGCCATTTTTCCTAATTCTACGTCATGTTAACCTCTTGTCTCGTGACCGATGACATCCTGGGGTTGTCAAAATCCTGAGAATCAGAAAGCGACGATGGGGCTATGTGGCATGGAAAATTCCGGGACCTCTAGAGGCACACTGAGGCTCGAAGTCGGTGTTCTGCTCCTATTGTTGGACCCAGTGCTGCCGGTGATGGCTTACCCAGTTGCAATCTCTCCAGTTCTGAAGGGGGAGAGATGAGGTGAGAACAGATATGACGAGATTTGCACGCCGGATGACGAATGGGTTGCCGACCACAGAGACGTAGAGGCTCCAAACAGACAGCGATGGTTGCGAACGTTATGGTGTGTCAGATCAAGCTGCTGCGTTCATTATGAACGGACTCCAAGCTGATATTGACCGAGCTATAGTGGCTGAAAAGAGTGAGGTCCTGGAAGATTACAAGATTCGGCGAGCCAGGGATCGCACGAGAACAGAAATAGCGCGGGAGAACGCTGCAGACATCCTACAGGCTTGTGAGTCAGGTCTCACGAGTCTGTGCTTCGATGGGAGAAATGATAAGGCTTGTACCGCTCGCAATGCGGACACAAAGATTGATGAACAGGTGGTTGTAACCTCTTAACCAGGCGACGCCATATGACACGTGTCATCTCTCGGTCAGGCCGAGCCCTGGACCTACTGAACGAGCACGACTGGGCTGGACTGCGATGGGATGGTGATAACGCTGGGGCCAATGGCTGAGTTTGCCGTTTGCCCGAACTTGTCTCCGAAAATGTTGTCCACTGGTGGATTTGCCAGTTTCATGGTGACAAGCTCAATCTTCGACATGTGTTTTCAAACACGTAGTGGGGGCACCTTCGAGGCACACACGTAGGTGAAACGTCGCAAAAAGCATTAAGGGTCGAAATCCATATCTGGTAAGGGTGGGGGGGGGGGGGGGGGGAGCGAGCGGAGCCACGATCAGGCATTCTCTACAGGCTGACTTGGACCGTGTAGAGCGATTCTCTCGCTCCCCGGACCGCTTACATACGGGTGGGCACGCTCCACCACGCCAGGCAAGCGAAATAATGATCGCTGATCAACTTATATGGAACATATTGTAGAAATGGTAACGCTTGTTGAAAAAGGAGCGCGACGCTATCATCACGCTCACTTTTACGAAGCGCCAGCAGCGCTCAGGGTCATGGTACAGCCGGGATTCGAACCCAGGCCCCCACGTGGAAGTTGAAGGCGCTTACCACTCGGCCTCCACGTCTCCAATAGCCAATGGAAGTGCTACAGATGCGCTTATATTCGTACCTACTTTTGCGATTTATAACACAGCTATCGTTTTTACATAGTTCTAAACCTAGTTTGAAACCATCCTGCAGCGAATGTTACCGACTACACCGGTCCCCTGACACTCGATCCTGGTTTGATCATCCTTGATTCCGTACCTCATATGAAATGTGACGCGCACCTACCGTGCGCTCGCTGCTCAGCGAGCTTCGGCCCGCCGCGTGGACGTGACGTGTGTTGGTGCCCGTCTCGCCCGAGCTCAGTGCCGGCTCCAAGCAGCCGCGGACACCTCCTCAGGATGACTGCCGCGTTCGCGCTGGCTGCTGCGAGCATCAGCTCCCATGTTGACTGCGATTGCTGGGAGCTCACCCCTTCTCGAAACGTGTGATCGTTGCGTGGTGTGTTTGGCCGGTTGGATGCCGCCTCTCGACCGGCTGGATGACGCCTCTCGGGCGGTTGGGCGCCGCCTCTCGACCGGCTGGATGACGCCTCTCGGGCGGTGGACGCCGCCTCTCGGCCGGTTGGATGCCGCCTCTCGGCCAGCAGCGATGTCCGCCGATCGCCGAGCTGCCTGGCTGCCTGCCTGCTGCTTGGCTGCTGCCTGCTGCCTGCTGCCTGGCTGCTGCCTGGCCGGGGCCGCTCCGGTGTACTGACTCACGTGCCGGTGTGGCGGGTCGGCTCTGGCAGCCGCGGCCGGGGCGGCGCGCGATATCGCACTATATCGCGCGGGTTCTCGGGGAAAGCCATGGTGTTCCTTTGAGGAGCAGTAGCTCGAGATCCGCGCGGTCCATGCACTGTGCAGACGTGACATTTGTTGAAAAGGTCGGATAAACTTTCCACATGCACGACTCCATTCGTATGTGAAGGAATGAGATGATTGTTGGTCGTTGCTGGAGTCGTGGGCGAAGCCGTTTCTATGAAGATGGGCATTTCACCTGGTGTGCCTTCTTATAATACATCGATTTTGTGCGAAACATAAGCATGAACAAGATTCGCTGCATTGATAGACACCTGTTCATTGATGGGCATTGATAAGCACCTCTACACAAAGGGGCTTCCGTTACATGGTCACAAGACAAAAGTCGAAATCGGTCACATGCGTCGCTTTCTCCATCTCGTCACTGGTGAAAGGCGCATGTAGTCTTCTCAGTACAAACATACAGCTGAGCTTGACTCAGCACTTCCTGCAACTGTAAACGCGAACTTCTCATAACACATCGTTCATCAGGTGCAGTGCTCCTTTCTTCTGCTGGCAGAGTGGCTTTCGTGATGCCTGGAATCCTCTATAAAATAGCACATCTGCATACCCTGGCTACCGCAGGCTGCATCTATGTTCATTGTGTCTGTGCACCGTAAAAAATCCTTCTCATTCTTGCTGCGAAGCAAATGTCCTGATCCAATCTCCTGCAGCATTCACTTCTCAGAAGTCATGGCTTTTAGCCACAGGCTCGTTCGCCTGCAAATTTCGGACCATCGTACAACCATATTGCATT